ATTCTTAGATCTGACGGGACTCGAACCCGCAATCGCTAGAGCCGAAATCTAGCGCGATACCATTTCGCCATCAGACCGGCGGCTGCTGATTGTTGACAGAGAGTAAAGGAATGAGGCATATATCGTCTTAAGTGATGCGCAGGGATCGGTAGCTTTGCCGACTGGGCTAGTCCGGGCCACCCCAATCCCCACAATGTGAGACAAACTCAGGTCAGCATGGCCCGTGCCAGTGCGAGTGCACAGTAAGTTAGGCTCAGCCAAGCCTCGGGACCACCTCACAAAGGTTGTTCCTTGGCTTGAACTTACCGCATATCAAGATGACACCTCGAGGCGAAGGAACACGATGTCACGTGAACTGTCATGCTTCACGGCATCAAGCTTATGTAAGCCACTCACCAGCCTTGGCTTTCGTTGCAGACGTCGTGTACTTGGGTCACCACAATGTCGTAGCATAGCCAGGATGATGCTCACTTGCTATCCCAAGAGTCGATTGATGGTACCCACAATGCCGGGTTGGTTGATACACCACCTCATGGTTATTCTGCACTGTGAGAATGTGATAGGATATTGAAATTTGGCGGTGCTGATGGCCAAGCACATTATGCCGAACGCACCTATCAAGACATAGCACCTCGTAACATATTGCTGAACATGATTGCGAACATGATTATGCGGAAAACTTCAGGACTTTTATTACTCATTGTAATCACTATTGATGCTCATTGATGGCAATAACTGGTATGTACATTCTCTGGACATGGGCCTGCCCCCAGCCATACATGCCCACTAGTGATGATACTATGTCTCGATAACATATTGAAGTAGTTCATAGAATGATACAGCAATCCATGGACAGGGCTTAAATATATTTCTTTAATGGCTCCTCTCAAAGTCTCACACTAATGGTAAGCTGTCCGGCAACATGGTGGAATGTTACCTTCCAGCACAGACATAACTTGGTGACTCAAGCTATGAGAAGATAACCCGAGCTACCTTGGGTAGCTCCTCACGAGGATGAGTGAAGTCGTTGGTGTCGATCTAATCCATAAACATCTTTGCCTTCTTACTTCTACGTAGCATGAACTGGAAATCGTCGAGACTGTCGGCCACTTGGCGACAGCTACCTCGCCTTGGTCGATAATCAGTATGCTCCAGCATGTTGTCATTATACCTAGGTAGGTAGAACATACCCAGGTTGAGCTATGGTCTTCGTATACTTGCAATTTGAGGGATCATCAATCGTCATGCTGAGATAAGCAAGTGTATATACTCAGCTCAACAAGTCGCCATGTTGGAGCAGACCCAAGGTCTGCTCGCTTTCTCTCTGAAGATCCATAGTCATGCCACCGGCGATAGGTATCCCAGAATATTGCTGGTGACGAAAGACCAGTAAGTCTTCACACTTGAATTGAAGAGCATCATGATAGGACTTGCGGGCACGTACCTCGTCATCTATTTCTGCTCCTTCCTCGACTGCGGTCTGGTTAGGTCTTGTGACTCTAGGCATCCAGATAGGGTTGATTATTTTCTCTTACCTCTGCCACTTTCCTGTTTGCCCTGAAATTCAACCCACAACCATCACCACAGCCACAACCACCACCACCATCATCATCATCATCACCACCACCACCACCACCACCACCATCACCATCATCATCACCACCATCATCATCACCATCATCATCACCATCATCATCATCACCAACACCAACACCAACACCAACACCAACACCAACACCAACACCAACACCAACACCACCACAGTATGTAACTGCCTGCAATGTCAGGTGCTCGATGGCTAACATAGATGCCAGATGAGTGCCAGCAACAACGACGCGGCCATGGGCCAATCTTGGGCGGTCTCAGCCGAGCAGGACCTCACGGACGAGGTGACTGAGTCGTTCATTTATATAAAGCAAGAGTTCGAAGAAGAGGATTGGGAGGACGAGGCTAGAGAACCCCTCGCCAGAAACAACGAGGCCGCCGACGAACCACCCGTCTGGTCCCAATATCCCAACGAGGTTTACCCTCGTTTCGACAACCAGGGCGTCTTTCCCATCGGAGGCGACCCGCCATTTACCACTGTCGCCAGCCGACTCTACCCCCCTACCCCTCCCACCCGCCGCCACCCCTCTGATCCCGAGCCCGAGGCCGCCAAGGTTTACACCATGTTCAAATGTGGCAAGAGCGAAGACGGGCCCGAGTACGCGGTCAGGCCCTGGTCCACGACGATAAAACGCCATCGAGGGGCCGAATGGCAGCCATACTGTGCCCAAGATGACGGCCCGCTCCCGGAACCGCACACGGCCGGAAGGCTCATCGAGCCATTTAACAAAACCCTGCCCGACTTATATCAAAAGGGCTTCAACATGCTTTTCAACAAGCGGGACGGCGGCGAGACCTCCCTGGACTTACTAGACTGCTCGCCCGGTGCCTCGCAAGCTTTCTATGGCTGGATCCCCAAGCGCTTCATGCCCAGGCGGGGTACCATCGGATACTGGGGCTTCGACGGTGACTGCATGGACAGACAGTTTCAGGGGCTGTCAGCCA